CTTAGAGTGTCCACAGCCTGTCCCGTCGCAGTTACAGTTACAACCGGCCTCCCCACTGCCTGCTCCTTCTCCCTACACCGGTCCTACTGGAGGTCTTGCTGAGCGTCGTGAGCCTGCGTCTCGCCCTGCGTCGCCTGTCCGCTGCTTGCGCTAGTGGTCGTGGTTCGCGTCAGCGTCCTCCTCCTGTCCCTGGCACGCATCGGATGTCTCTGCGTCTGTCCACTGCTCCTCTGCGTGCCCCTTTGCCTTCTCCTCCTGAGTCCTCTCTTCCTGCTCTTGCCGACCCGGAGTCGGACTCTCTTCGTGCTGCCAGTCCTACTGTCACGCGTCTCCTTGTTACTGTTCTCACTGACCCTTCCTTTGAGTCCACTGCTGCGTCTGCCCTAGTTGCTGAGCTCGTTGACTTTGCTGCTCGTTGTCGTCTAGACTACGCTGCTAGTCTTGTTGCTGAGTCTGAGTCTGTCTGTCCTCCGTCCGTCGGGGGTGAGTGTGCCCTTGGCATGGACGTCCTTGAGGACAGGCAGGAGGAGTTCCAGTATTTGGCTGCTGCTTCACCTCATCTCGTGTCCGTACTGCTTACCCCTGAGGGAGACCCGGATGCACTTGACATCCCGACTCCGCGCTCTTACGCGGAGGCGATAGAGGGTCCCTACTCCTCTCAGTGGCAGGCAGCTATGGACACAGAGATGGCTTCCTGGAAGTCCACAGGCACCTACGTTGACGACGTTCCCCCTCCTGGGGCGAACATCGTCAGTGGCATGTGGATTTTCAGGGTGAAGCGGCCGCCGGGTTCTCCGCCTGTCTTCAAGGCGCGTTACGTGGCTCGTGGCTTCAGTCAGCGGCAGGGAGCTGACTACTTTCAGACCTTCTCTCCCACCCCGAAGATGACCACTCTTCGGGTACTGCTGCACATAGCTTCTCACCGTGACTACGAGCTGCACTCTCTTGACTTCAGCACTGCTTTCTTGCAGGGCTGCCTACACGAGGAGATCTGGCTGCGCCGCCCACCTGGCTTCACTGGGTCTTTTCCTCCTGGCACCCAGTGGAGCCTCCGGCGGCCAGTCTACGGTCTCCGCCAGGCACCACGTGAGTGGCACGACACACTGAGGACTAAACTTGCAGCTCTTGGGTTTGCTCCCTCTACTGCCGACCCGTCGCTGTTTCTGCGCACCGACACTTCGTTGCCGCCGTTCTACATCCTCGTGTACGTCGAGGACTTGGTCTTTGCCACAGCTGACACCGCTGGACTCGCCCACGTGAAGTATGAGCTGCAGAAGAGACACACGTGCACAGACCTGGGTGAACTGCGCAGCTACCTTGGCTTGCAGATCACCCGGGACAGAGCACGCCGCACCATTACCCTGACTCAGTCACACATGGTGCAGCAGGTCCTTCAGCGCTTCGGCTTCACGTACTCCTCGCCTCAGGCCACTCCTCTGCCTACTCGCCACTCGCTCTCAGCTCTGCCTTCGGATGAGTCCGTAGAGTCGAGTGTCCCGTACCCAGATCTTGTTGGCTGCCTCATGTACCTGATAACCTGCACACGACCTGACCTTGCATACCCTCTTAGCATTCTCGCACGCTATGTTGCTCCTGGGAGACACAGACCGGAGCACATGGCTGCAGCGAAGAGGGTGTTGCGCTACTTGTGTAATACGTCGGGCATGGGGCTTGTGCTTGGAGGGCAGAGTCCTGTGGTCCTCACTGGGCACGCAGACGCTTCTTGGGCTGACGACCAGGCTACGCAGCGGTCGTCTCAGGGTTACACCTTCAGCCTTGGTTCCGGCTCTGTTTCGTGGCGGGCTACCCGCTCGTCTTCTGTTCTCGGCTCCAGTTGTGAGGCTGAGATCTACGCAGGAGCCATGGCTGCACAGGAGCTTCGCTGGCTCACCTACCTGCTGACTGACCTTGGAGAGCCGCCTCGTTCTCCTCCAGTGCTGTACGTAGACAACAAGGCCATGCTGGCCTTGTGTCGAGAGCAGAGACTGGAGCACAGAACAAAGCACATTGCTCTCCGCTACTTCCTTGCTCGTGAGCTACAGCACCGTGGTCAGTTGCGGCTTGCGTACGTGGCCTCTGAGGCCAACACTGCTGATATCTTCACCAAGGCACTTGCGCCTTGTGATCATCAACGCTTCTGTACTCAGACGGGTCTTGTGCCTACCTTGCCTCACTTGCTCACACCTTGACCTTGTTTGTAGTGTTACATATATATATATATACTCCTGCTCTTGCTTGTCTAGCTTTATATATATATATGTAATCCTGCATGTGAACTGGCCTTGTGGCCTTGAACTTGTGCTCGGAATGTGTGGTGACTTTGTGATCCACCCTGAGCTTGCTTTACTTTGCTTTGCTTGACTGGTCTTGTGACCCATTGTTCTCCCCCACTTTGCCTATGGGGGTGTGTCAGATTTATATGACATAGCTGTTGTAGGCTATAGTGGGGTAGCACATATGGGGTACAGCTTTCTAGGGTTTGTACTTGTACCCAACTTTCCCTTAGTCATTCATTCTCGTTTCAGTTTTTTCAGTACCGTATACGAATTAAATGTCAGAATGTTATCTTATGCTCTAGCCTGTAGTGGGGTGCTCTATAGCGAGTACAACCCTTCTAGGGTTTGCTATTTGTATCCCCATTCTTGCTAGTGCAACCCCCTCTTCTTTCTTCTAACTTTTCACATGGTATCAGAGCAGGTCGATCCCCTTGGATCGATCCTGTGGGTGGGCTCTCCACCTCGTTGCTTCCGCTGCAACTACTACTCCTACCTCTCTGTAACCTCCCTACCCGCCATCCCGCCCTGCCTGTGTTAGGGTTTGGGGAGTGGCGAGTAGGGGGTGGCGAGTATGGGGGTGGCACTTCTGCATTCCTCCCTTTGCTCCTCCTCCTCCTCTGTCTCCCACTGCTGCAGCTGTCGCTGAGGGGGGTGGATGTGTGGGAGACTGGGGTTTAGGGTTTAAGGGGGGTGCGTGGGAGTGGAGCTAGCGGTGTAGCAGCGGGTGTGTGCCAGGGGGAGTGGGATAGTTTGGGGAAGCTGTATGGAGGTTGCCGTCGTGTCGCCAGCAGCACCTGTATTCCGGGGACTTCGTCCGGTAGCCCAGTCGTAGCCAGCTGTGCCAGCCGCCCGTGGGTCCGTTGCTCGTCTGCCGCTACTTTAGACGCGGGGCCTGTTACTCCTGTATTCCGGGGACTTCGTCCGGTAGCCGCTGTGACAGTCTGCCTCCTGTTGCATGTGTGTTTGCAGCTTCAGCCGTCGCCTCCTATCTCCTCTCCTCTCACTCTCTCTCCTCCTCCTCGCTTGCCCGTTGTGACTACCACTAGCTTTGCTCATAATTGTACCCTTTAAACTATTGCTTCTTGAACTTGTGCTCAGAATGTGTGGTGACATTGTGATCCACCCTGAGCTTGTACTGCTTTGTTTCCTTTGCTGATTACACCCCACTTTGGCTATGGAGGTGTGTCAGAATGTTATCTTATGCTCTAACCTGTAGTGGGGTGCTCTATAGCGAGTACAACCCTTCTAGGGTTTGCTATTTGTATCCCCATTCTTGCTGGTGCAACCCCCTCTTCTTTCTTCTAACTTTTCACATTAAAGGCCCTGTTCGCCAGCACAAGTTGGGCAAAATGGACGGGATCAGGAAGATCAGTCTCGCCTTCCGGATCCCGTTCGTTAGGGTTCGTTAACGTCTGTCAGGATGGTCTGCCCGTGGAATTCGTGTCGAACTTACGATTCCGTCTGAACCAAATGAAATCATGTTGGCCTGTGGAACGTCATCAGTTTGACCTCATTTGAGACGGAATCACGGCTCTCGGAAGTGGGGTAGCAATTTCGTCCCTAGGAAACCTTCCCGCCCCATACCATCCCGTTGCCATTCACCACGGCCCTGTTCGATATGCAGCCACCTCCTTGCAGGGCTAGTGTTAGGCTAGCGTTTGGAGGAGGGTTCGGAGAAAGTTTTGAAGGGCTAACCCCCCCCCCCCCCCCCCTCTCGAGATCGGAAGCAGCCCATCTCGAGATCGGAAGGAGGGGGTCGTCTCGGCGATGTTGCAACCCCTCCTTCCACTATCATCATCGTGGGCAGGGTCCAAAAATACTACACCACTCCCCACATGAACCTGGGTAAATCAAGGGTGAAAAAAAACCCACACATGTGGTTTGGTTGTGGGAGGAGGGGGGCTTTTCAGGGCAGAGATGGGTGAGGTTGGAGCATGGGCCCTGCTGGGAAAACTTTCGTGGGGTATGGGGTGGGTATCCCCTCTGATATGGAACCCTAGCCTATCCCTTGGCCAACCTCCATTTTGGGGGTGTGAGGGCTGGGTTGGAGCTAGGCTAACCTCTGTGCGTGTGAGAAGGGACTTGGAGCTTTCAGGGGGGATGATTTTGAAGGGTTAAAGTAGCGTTCGACAGGCTAACGCTAACCCTTCATGATCTAGAGCGTTAAAGCCCAGTGACACCAAATCACGGGCTGACCGTGGAAAAAAACCCAAAGTCAAAACAGCCTCGATGATTCCGCGGAAGGGCTTGCCTGCCTATGGAATAGGGCCCACTTCACGGGGAATTGCGGTGGGATTGGTTGGCTCTGACAGGAGGGGGAAGACGGGGAGAGTGGTTCGTGATGCCGTTGCCACGTTTCCCATTTATGGCGCGAGGGACCATTCCGCCCAAACCTATTCGGCGGGTTCCTGATTCCGTTGCTATACCGATCCCGTCAGATTTCTTTCGAATTCACATGTGCTGGCGAACAGGGCCTAAGATTTTTTTGTCGACTCTCATCCCACCCCACCATCTTCACTGGCCTGACAGTCTCACTGCGACTCACCGAATCTGCCCATTGTTCGTTCATACCTTCGCCATCGTTCTCTGCTCTAAATAAGATACTTTCCATCGTAACCGTTATAGTCGTTAGTTTTTCGGGGAAAAAACTTATATATGCTTTCTCGCCGCACCGCATTGCGTTTCTAGCATCCATCCCACCGCCCCGACCCCACCGCGATGGTTATGGACGCGTCTGCGGCGGCGGCGCCCGCGGCGGTGCCGGGCGCGCTGGCGGGGCCGGTGGTGGACGGCGTGAGCGCGCTCGATTGCAGCCCGCAGGGCCTGGCGGCGTTCAGCAGCGGCGCCGCCATCAGCGTCGTCGACCTCGCCAGCATGCAGCTCGTCCACACGCTCGTCGCGCCGCCGCCGCCCCTCGACCGCTCCGGGGGCCTCGCGGGCGGCGTGGCGGAGACGGCAGGCGTGGTGGTGCCGGTGACGGCGGCGCGGTTCAAGCCGGGCGGGCTGGACCGCGACCTGGCGCACCTCTCGAGCCTGCAGCTGGCGGCGGGCGACCGCGCGGGGCGTGTGGCGCTCTGGGAGGTGGTGCGCGAAGAGGTCGACCGCTGGCTGCTGCCCGACCGCGGGGGGTCGGCGGCGGGGGGAGCGGGGGGCGCGGGCGGCAGCGCGGGGGGCGGGGCGGCGGGGTCGGTGGACGTGGTGGAGTGGGTGATGGGGCGGCCGTGGCTGCTGGCCGTGCTGCACGCCAGCTGCGCCGCCGTCGTCTGGGACCTCTCCTCCTCCGCCACCGCCTCCTCCTCGCCCGCCGCGGCCGCCACGGCGACGCCACATGTCATCTGGCGGTACGACGGGTCGGCGTCGCCCACGGGCGAGCTGCTGGTGTCGCTGGCGCTGGACCCCCACGACCCGCGCCGCGTGTGCGTGCACGGCGCGCGGGGGCTCGTGCTCGCGCTGCAGGTCGACCTGGCCGCGCCGGGCAAGGGAGGCGCGGGGGGGAGTGGGGGTAGCGGGGGGAACGGGGGGGGAGTGGGCAAGGAGCGGGGATTGAGCATCAAAACCACCACGCTGCAGCTGCCCCTGCCAGAGCCCGCCGGCGGGGGAGGGGGAGGGGGAGGCGGGGGTGGAGCATCAGTGGTGGCGTGTGCGTTCGCCCCGCACACGCGCGACCTGCTGTACGCAGTGCTGCCGCGTGACATCGTGTGCTTCGACCTCCACTTCGGGTGCGCCGTGGCGTCGTCCTCCGTGCCGCGCAGCGTGGCTCGGTTGACGCGGCTGCTGCTGCCGCCGTCCAGCGACGTGCTCTACTGCCTCCACGCCGACGGCAAACTCTCCATGTGGCAGCGCCGCCCGTACGCAGGGGGGGGGGGAGGGGGGAGCGAGAGGCGGAGCGGGAGTGGGAGGGGGGAAGAGAAGGGGGAGGGAGAGCGGGAAGAATGAAGGTGGAAAGTGGATGCTGGGGAGATTGGGGGGGAAGAGAGGTGCGGGTTGGTAGCGGTGTTGGTGGAAGGATGAAGGATTGAGAACGGGGGAATGAGCATGGAGGTCGAGCATGGGGGAAGTGAGGTGGAGGTGATTATCAACAATGCTCAACTGCTCTTCACTTCACCCACTCTTGCTCCTGCCACCGAATCATACTCCCATCACTCCATCACCCCATCACTTCCATCCAACTCCCCTGCACCCAACAGTCCACCCCCCTCACCCCCTTTTCCCCTCCAATCAGAGGCCGCCAGCTGTACATGATCCGCACGGTGGAGCCGCTGGTGCCGCTGCCCGGCAGTGCAGCACCGTCCCCGGGCATCCTGGCGGCCGTGCTGTGGCCGCAGCCGTTCCGCGAGGCGCAGCTCGTGCTGCAGGCCGTGCCCGCCACCACGCCACGCCCCAACGGCAGCCTGGCCGGCGCCGTGGCGGCGGGCGTGAGCTTGCACGGCGTGAGCAGCTGCCAGGTGGTGTGTGTGAGCGACGACAACAAGCTCTGGCACTGGCTCGCCCGCACTGCTCCCGTGCCGCGCGGCCAGGGGGCGCTGGGGGGGCCGGCGGACAGGGAGAAAGGGGATGGTGGGGACGGTGGGGCGAGGGGCGGACGGGGGAGTGGGGGGGGCGGCGGGGGGAGCGGAGAGGGCGGTGGTGGAGAGGGGGCGAGTGCGATGGGTGACGGCGTGGAGGTGGCCATGAAGGTGCGTGCTGTGCGGTGTAGTGCGGTGCAATGCATGTAGCATTGCACAGGGGGTGGGGCAAGGAGGGTTGCGGTGCCTCGCAGCAAGGCAGCAGTGCAAGGAGCCTCAAGCACCCCGCCACTCCATGCCCTCCCGTGCCTCCCTGCCTCTCCACACACGTGCCCCGCATCCCTCCCCCTCCCCCCCCCACCCTCCCCTGTGTGCGTGCACTGTGGCACCAGCTGGAGCTGCTGGGCATGTTCCACGGCTTCTCCTCCGCGCCCACCACGCTCTCCGTGCCTGCACCCTCCCTCTTCTCCTGCGTCCCAGGTGCGTGCCACCCCACCCCACCCAGTGCATGGCTGCACCAACCAGCTGTGTGCGACAGGCCCCACGCTCTGCACGCACCTCCTGCATGCACGCACCTCCTGCATGCACGCACCTCCTGCATGCACGCACCTCCTGCATGCACGCACCTCCTGCATGCACGCACCTCCTGCATGCACGCATTCGCCTGCCATCCACACCAGCTGTCTTTTCTTGCATGTGTGCTGTGCTCCCACCTCTCCACCACCACTCCTTGCCCCGCACCTCACAACCTTGACCCTCGTGTAGCCCGCCATCACTTAGCATATTGTCTGGCCCGCCCCTTTCTTCTTCGTCACCCCCCACATGTCTCGTCCCGCTTCCCCCTCACAAGGGCTGAGCACGGCAACGGGGTCGCTGGCAGCAGCGGCGGTGCCGGTGGTGGCGGTGGCAACGCAGGAGGGCGGGGTGGAGCTGGTGGACACGGCCGTGCACGCCATCGCCGCCTCCTTCCTGCTGCACCCCTCCATGGTGCGCGGGGTGCGCTGGCTCGGCAACACCCGCCTCGTCTCCTTCTCCTTCCAAGAGGTGCGTGCACGCATAGAGGAGAGAGGGAGCGTATGGGAAGGGAGTGTAGTGTGGGGGTGTGGGTGAATGTGGGGGTGTGGGTGAGTGTGGGGATGTGGGTGAGTGCAAGGAGGTCTGTATGCTGTGGCTAGTGAGTGAGCACATGGGTCAAGTGGCATTCGTCACTTGCCCTGCCTGCACTTAACATCACGCACTGTGTCGCCCCCTGCTCACCGCCCCCGTCGCACATGGCCTTCAGGCGAAGGCGGGGGGGTACGAGAACAGGGTGGTGGTGACGTGCATCCGCAGCGGCGAGTCTCGCCCCTTCCGCCAGCTGCAGCAGCCCGACAAGTCGCCCATGAGGGGCCTCCGCGCCTCACCCTCCGGCAGGTGCCGTCCATCCCACGCTCTGCCACGTCACCCCCGCGCTCTGCCACGTCATTCCCACGCTCTGCCACGTCACTCCCACGCTCTGCCACGGCGCCCCCACGCTCTGCCACGTCACTCCCACGCTCTGCCACGTCACTCCCACGTTCTGCCACGGCACCCCCACGCTCTGCCACGGCACCCCCACGCTCTGCCACGTCACTCCCACGCTCTGCCACGTCACTCCCACGCTCTGCCACGGCACCCCCACGCTCTGCCACGGCACCCCCACGCTCTGCCACGTCACTCCCACGCTCTGCCACGTCACTCCCACGCTCTGCCATGTCACTCCCGCGCTCTGCCACGTCACTCCCACACTCTGCCACGCCACTCCCACGCTCTTCCACGTCACTCCCACGCTCTGCCACAGCACCCCCACGCTCTGCCACGTCACTCCCACGCTCTGCCACGTCACTCCCACGCTCTGCCACGTCACTCCCACGCTCTGCCACGTCACTCCCACGCTCTGCCACGTCACTCCCACGCTCTTCCACGGCACTCCCACGCTCTGCCACGTCACTCCCACGTTCTGCCACGGCACCCCCATGCTCTGCCACGTCACTCCCACGCTCTGCCACGTCACTCCCACGCTCTGCCACGTCACTCCCACGCTGTGCCACGTCACCCCCATGCTCTGCCACGTCACCCCCACGCTCTGCCACGTCACTCCCACGCCCTGACACATGGCTCTCGCCTTTCTATGAGGTTGGCACATTTGAAGCGACCATGCATGATTCACATGCTGCTTGCAGCTCACCTGCATTCTTCTTGCACGTTGCTTCTCATGCAACACCAAGTGCGTCCTGCAATCGCCTTCCCTCTCGTCGCGTGTGCGGGTGGTGCGTGTGGTCAGGTACCTGCTCATCCTCTTCCGTGACGCGCCAGCTGAAGTGTGGGCCATGACTCGCGCACCCCAGATGGTGACTTCACACACTCGCGTGCAATGGCATGTTGACATGAGTCATGATATTGTTTCAAGGAATCGTGTTTGTTCGATTCAGTCTGATTGTTGATGCAGAAGCAGAACCAACCTCTGTGTCCCAATTCCCACCACTCCCCATCGCAATGTGCCATGTGTGGCTCATCACACTAAACACGCCGTTTTCTTCCCTGTTTCCTTGTTGCATTCTCTCCCAACCCCCGTACAGCTGCGCTCCCTGATGTTGCCCGTCACAGCGATGGAATACTCGTTTGCCACTTTCAAGATTCTCAAAACTTTTCTCGTTGCCCCCTCTCGCCCCCTTCCCCCACACCAGCTGCGCTCCCTGGCGCTGCCCTTCACAGTGATGGAGTGGGCGCTGCCGCCCGTCACCACGCTCGACCCACACTCCGCCACACAGCGCCACATGCACGGTGCGGTCATGCGTGCACGGTGAGATCGGCCATGCGTGCACGGTGAGATCGGCCATGCGTGCACGGTGAGATCGGCCATGCGTGCACGGTGAGATCGGCCATGCGTGCACGGTGAGATCGGCCATGCGTGCACGGTGAGATCGGCCATGCGTGCACGGTGAGATCGGCCATGCGTGCACGGTGAGATCGGCCATGCGTGCACGGTGAGATCGGCCATGCGTGCACGGTGAGATCGGCCATGCGTGCACGGTGAGATCGGCCATGCGTGCACGGTGAGATCGGCCATGCGTGCACGGTGAGATCGGCCATGCGTGCACGGTGAGATCGGCCATGCGTGCACGGTGAGATCGGCCATGCGTGCACGGTGAGATCGGCCATGCGTGCACGGTGAGATCGGCCATGCGTGCACGGTGAGATCGGCCATGCGTGCACGGTGAGATCGGCCATGCGTGCACGGTGAGATCGGCCATGCGTGACTAAATGCGACTCACAATTCTCGTGCTTAATGTGATGTTCCCACTGCAGTACACTACATGCTGCGTTGCTTGCATGCCATGGCGTGTGCATACTAGTGTTTTGAAATGCGGTAGTGCACAGCACATGGTCTTCACCACCACAAATGGCGTCCCTGTAAACACTTGCTTGCCCTAGCACATCCCTTCCCCTCTACTCCTCTGCATTTTCGTAGTCCTCCACACTCACACCATTGTCCCCCTCCCCCCCATCCGCCCACCAGACGACGACTTCCCGGCGTCGCCAACATCAGCGGCGCTGCTGGCCGCCACGCCGCGCTCCGCGTCGGACCCCATCGAGTCCTTCGCCTTCGCCCTCGTCAACGGCTCGCTCGGCGTCTTTGAGCTGCGAGGGAAGCGCGTCCGTGACTTCCGGTGCGTGCGGGTTTTGACATCTTCACATACTAGCTTTGGTCCCACGGACCCTCTTTTGCCGTTGCCCTGGGACTTCCGGTCCGGAGCACCAAGCCCGGCGTCGCTGTGATGCTCTCTGCTTTCCCTCTGCTATATACATGGCATGGCACATCATCCTCCACTTGCCATCCCTCGCCATGTGAGTCAACGTCCCCCGCACGCCATGCCTTTCTAACTGCAACCACGTGTGCCTCTCCGCGACTCCACACCCCCCACCCCCTCCCCTACACACCTCTCGTCTGGCCCATGCAGGCCCAAGTGGCCGTCAGCATCGTTCGTGGCGGTGGACGTGCTGGTCACAGCCATGGCGTACCGCACCCCCGTCGTCGTGAGTACCACCAGCACAGCACAGCACAGCACAGCACATGATGCCATCACTCAGTCGCCACGCTGCAATGCAATGCAATGCAATGCAATGCAATGCAATGCAATGCACCACCCGATGTGCACAAATGGGGCTTGCGCCACTTTCGCCTCTCATTCCTTTCCCCCTCCCACCCTCTCCCCACCTTCCCACCTCTCCCAACCTTCCCCTCCCACCCTCTCTCCCCATCTCCCCCCCCCAACCTTCCCCTCCCACCCTCTCTCCCCATCTCCCCCCCCCAACCTTCCCCTCCCACCCTCTCTCCCCATCTCCCCCCCCCAACCTCTCCCCGCACCTTCCCCCCCCACCTCCCCCCACGGTGGGCGGCAGGCGCTGGGGGACAAGGCGGGGGTGCTGCGGTGGTGGGACGTGGCGTCGGGGGCAGCAGGCACACACGCACTCAACCGAGGGGCCATCCGACGGCTCAGATTCGCCCCCACGCTCGTGAGCTCGAGCAGCTGCGGTCGGATCGCCGTCATGTTCAACGACTACACCTTCGCCCTCTTTGACCTGGTCAGCCCTCTTTGACCTGGTCAGCCCTCTTTGACCTGGTCAGCCCTCTTTGACCTGGTCAGCGCGCTTATCCTTTGTGTAGGTTATTACATAGCCACATACTTCATGTTTGGGTGTATGTCTGGTGGAATTCACCCAATGTACTGTAGACCAGCTCAGCTTGGGTTGCCCAACTCAGCTAGCTTGCCAGAGCTGCCTGCACACTTGGCCAGTGCCTTACTCCACGACAGCACGGTACCTTGACTTTCCTCCTGCTCTCCCATCCGTGCTGCGTCCACCATCTCATCGCTTCCTGCAACGCACAGGACCCTATCCCTGCTTTCGCGTGCAACACAACAGCATCGCCTCCATCCTTGCACGTCCTCCATCACCCCATCCTTGCACGTCCTCCATCACCCCACCCTCGGTCATCCACCATCAACCTTAGCCTGCATTGCAAGAGCCCACAACCTTAGCCTGCATTGCAAGAGCCCACAACCTTAGCCTGCATTGCAAGAGCCCACAAAAGCCGCTGAAACCAACCCCGCACAACCCCAACAACACACCCCAAACGCACTTGTGCCCTCTACCCCCTCGTGCAGGACGAGGGGGAGTTTGTACCGGGGGCGATGCCGTCGGAGGCAGCGGCAGCACTGCAGGTGCTGGAGATGGACTGGCTGCCGCTGCAGGGCCCCTCGCCCACAGGGCCCTCTGCCGCCCGCCAGCTGCTGTGCGTGGCGGCTGCTGACGGCACCGTGCGCCTGCTCGACATGGCCACGTGAGGGGGAGGGGGTGGGTGGGGGGGAAGATGCTGGTCCAGTGGAGGGTCGTGGATGTGGCATGGCATGTGGAATGAGGTGCTGTGGTGAGGAGCATGCAGTCAACGCTTGGCATGGGCGCAGTATCCATTGCCCTGCAGTCAACGCTTGGCATGGGCGCAGTATCCATTGCCCTGCAGTCAACGCTTGGCATGGGCGCAGTATCCATTGCCCTGCAGTCAACGCTTGGCATGGGCGCAGTATCCATTGCCCTGCAGTCAACGCTTGGCATGGGCGCAGTATCCATTGCCCTGCGTGCATCTCTCTCCACCCGCGAACCATTCCAGATTGCCCCTCCCCCCCTGCCTCTCATCGCCCTCCCCCCATTGCCTCTCATCGCCCTCCCCCCATTGCCTCTCATCGCCCTCCCCCCATTGCCTCTCATCGCCCTCCCCCCATTGCCTCTCATCGCCCTCCCCCCATTGCCTCTCATCGCCCTCCCCCCATTGCCTCTCATCGCCCTCCCCCCATTGCCTCTCATCGCCCTCCCCCCATTGCCTCTCATCGCCCTCCCCCCATTGCCTCTCATCGCCCTCCCCCCATTGCCTCTCATCGCCCTCCCCCCATTGCCTCTCATCGCCCTCCCCCCATTGCCTCTCATCGCCCTCCCCCCCCTGCCTCTCATCGCCCTCCCCCCATTGCCTCTCATCGCCCTCCCCTCAACAACCGTCGCCATGCCACGCCCATACCCCCCCAGCAACGCGCCGTTGAAGCAGCCGTTCTACCGCCCGCCCGCCTCGCGCCTGGCGGTGTGGCACCGCTTCCGCCCCTCGCCGCTCTGCTCCGTCGCCCTCATGCCCGCGCCCTGCGCTCTGGTGCGTGCTGCCCTGCGCTCTGGTGCGTGCTGCCCTGCGCTCTGGTGCGTGCTGCCCTGCGCTCTGGTGCGTGCTGCCCTGCGCTCTGGTGCGTGCTGCCCTGCGCTCTGGTGCGTGCTGCCCTGCGCTCTGGTGCGTGCTGCCCTGCGCTCTGGTGCGTGCTGCCCTGCGCTCTGGTGCGTGCTGCCCTGCGCTCTGGTGCGTGCTGCCCTGCGCTCTGGTGCGTGCTGCCCTGCGCTCTGGTGCGTGCTGCCCTGCGCTCTGGTGCGTGCTGCCCTGCGCTCTGGTGCGTGCTGCCCTGCGCTCTGGTGCGTGCTGCCCTGCGCTCTGGTGCGTGCTGCCCTGCGCTCTGGTGCGTGCTGCCCTGCGCTCTGGTGCGTGCTGCCCTGCGCTCTGGTGCGTGCTGCCCTGCGCTCTGGTGCGTGCTGCCCTGCGCTCTGGTGCGTGCTGCCCTGCGCTCTGGTGCGTGCTGCCCTGCGCTCTGGTGCGTGCTGCCCTGCGCTCTGGTGCGTGCTGCCCTGCGCTCTGGTGCGTGCTGCCCTGCGCTCTGGTGCGTGCTGCCCTGCGCTCTGGTGCGTGCTGCCCTGCGCTCTGGTGCGTGCTGCCCTGCGCTCTGGTGCGTGCTGCCCTGCGCTCTGGTGCGTGCTGCCCTGCGCTCTGGTGTGTGCTGCCCTGCGCTCTGGTGCGTGCTGCCCTGCGCTCTGGTGTGTGTTGTGCCCTGCACTGCTGTTTTCCCGCACGCCCTTGCGTAGGATGATGAGGCATGAGGGAGCGAACTCCATGCCTGAGAAGTTCATGAGGGTACCAATGATGGAAAACACGCAATGCATGTATGGGGATTGAGAAGAGCGAGAGGTGGGTTAACCCACCCGCCATCATAATGAGATCAGGTGCAACCTGCAATTGACACTGGCCTGATATCTACGGCCTGGATGTCCTGAGGCTGGATGTCCTGAGGCTGGATGTCCTGAGGCTGGATGTCCTGAGGCTGGATGTCCTGAGGCTGGATGTCCTGAGGCTGCCATCACGCCTTCCACTGCCCTTCCCCTCGCTCTCCCGCTTCCTTCCACCACCTCGTCCCCTTCTCTTTTGCCTGTCCCCACTTGCCCGTTCGTCCTCCCCCGTGCATGCGTGCACGTGCCAGGCGTTGCGCCTGCTGCTGCAGATGGGCATGCAGCCCGCATGGCTGGAGGCACCACTGCCCGCGGGCGCCCAGGGGGATGGGGGCGAGCTGGGCGAGGGGCAGGGCGAGGGGGACGAGGAGGCGGGCAAGGAGGGCAGGGCACGGGGCGATCTGCTGGCGTACGTGCTGCACCGCGGGCAGCTGGCGGGTGGGGTGGGCGACCCCGCCATGGCGGAGGTGCTGCTCAAGGGGCTGCAGCCCATGCGCATGGCAGGTAGGCGGCACGTGGGCGGCAAGAGTATCGCAGGTGGGTGGCAGGTGGGTGGCAAGTGGATGAGGTGAGTGGCAGGAGGGTTCTCCGTTCTGAACTTGGAAACGGCATCGAGAGTAACGCTGATGTCACACATGGCTTGTAGGATGCATGTGCCTCATCTCATCCCACCATCCACCATCTCATCGCACCATCCACTCCGCCCGTCCATGGACCACCGCGCATCACCCACGGCAGGGCAGCTGATGGGGGTGGAGGCGGCGAGGGCGTACAGCAAGGTGTGGGGGGGCGGGGTGGCGGCGCGCTGTGCGTGTGTGGCGGCGCACTACGGGGACATTCAAGAGGCGCACTTCTGGCTGCTGCTGCCGCATGCCCTGCGCCTCCTCGCCCAGGTCTGTCCTCACCTCTCTGCCCTCCTCGCCCAGGTCTGTCCTCACCTCTCTGCCCTCCTCGCCCAGGTCTGTCCTCACCTCTCTGCCCTCCTCGCCCAGCTCGATGCGCCTGCCCCCTCCATCGCGCTCCCCCCTTCCACCGCACCGCACCGCACTGCATGAACGGGTTGTTGCAAGGCCAGCGGAACTTCCTGCACTCATGTATTGATGCGCCCCATCCACCCCTGCACTGCCACTCTCACGCGCTCTGCCTCCCCGCCGCCTCCCCTCGCCTCCCAACCGTCACCTCTCAAGCGTCCCCCCTGTGCTCGTTCATGCGAAGATAACTACTACAACGGGAGTTAGACTACGAGGTAGGCACGGATGCTCGTGTGGTCTCTGCGCTCGTTCTTCTTTAGTCGTTTTCCTAGTGCATACACTGCTTGCTAGTTCACGGTGCAATTTGGCAAGAGTTTCACAAGAGAAAGTTGACAACAATGATACAAAGAAGTTGGCACTACATCAGAGCTAGCAGTCAGGTCGATTGACTGCCAGCCCAGCATTGACGACCGCGTTCCAGCACGACTTGGTCGACCGCGCTCCGGCAGTGCAAAGTCGACGGCGTGCCATCGCAGCAGGTCTACGGCGTGCCAGCGTAGCTCCCGCAGTACAGCATCGCATCAGCTTCATAGGTGCTCGCAGATGATTGGCGTGCTGAGCCTTGTCACCTGGACAGCGCACACACCAAGTTAGCCTGGCGCTGACGAGTGCAACTGATCAGCCACGTGGACCTCGGGATACCACCACCGAGGTCGGACTCGCAAACTTTGCCTGGGCGACCGTCGCACTCTTCCGCAGAACCTCGTCACCCAGGTAACATGGTCGACCGGGCAACCACGTCGACCAGCTGCTCCTGCATGTGCACGTCGACCTCCCAAGTCGACGACCACCCCAAGTCGACCTCACCAGGCCGACCACACCCCTGGTCGACCAGCTCCACGTCGACCAGCGCGGTTGTCAGCCGACCACCCAAGTCGGTTACCCGAAGTCGGCGTCACCAAAGTTGACGCCGTGCTACTCGACGCCCAACTGCTCGGCGTCCTGAGTTGTGGTCGACGTCGGCCCCTCCTCCGTCGACCACCAAGTCAGGTCGACCACCAGGTCGACATCTCGCCTGGTCGACCTACCACCAAGTCGACCAGCAGGCCTGGTCGACTAACCACCAGGTCAACCAGCAGTCCTGTCAGCCGACCACCCAAGTCGGCTGCCCCAATTTGGCGTCACCAAGTCGACGCCCTCCGCAGGTCAACTTCCCAGGTCGACCTGCCTGAAGCCGGTGCCACCCTGAAGTCGGTGCCCGTGCAGTGGCCCCGGTGCAAGTCGACCTCCTCGTCAACCAGCTCGCCCACTGCTGCAGGCCGGCTTCTCCCCTCACACCCGACGACGAAGTCGGCTCCGCCCAAGCGAGGATGAGGCCAACACACAACTCCCGTCGACAGTCCACTCCCTTCCCTTCCTCCCGAACGCATTGCTCCTCTTCACTTCATCAGTGTCCGTGTCATTTCAGCTTTCTCCCTCTCTCCCCCCCTCCCCTGCCCTCCCGACCCCTCTCTCTCTGCGTGCCCCATCCTGCCCGTGTAGGGTTCAGCAGGACCACACGCCTTCTGGCCGCCCGACACTGCCGCTGACGCCACCACCGCCACCACCGCCGACGCTGGTAGTGGTGGTAGCGGTGCTGGTGGCACAGCAGGCCCGAGTGGTGACGAGGCGGAGAGAGAGGCAGGGGGGAGTGGAGAGGGGGACCAAAGGCAAGACAGCGCAGAGAGTGGGAGGGCTGCTTCAGAAGAAGAAGGAGAAGGGAAGCAGCAGCAGCAGCGGCAGGAGCAGCAGTGGAAGAGAGGCCTCGCCCTTGATGTATGTCAGCCTGCTCAGCTCCCTCTCTCTCTGTCCTACCAGTGTATCCATGTGTTATGCCCTCGTCGTGTTGTCCTGCTCCCCACCCCTTCACACCTGCCCCTGTCTTCGTCACGCCCTCCCTCTCCCTCACTCCCCCCCTCGCCCCAATTTTTTAACAGGCAGCAGCAGGGGCGGGCGGGAAGGGGTACGGGGAGGAGGCGGTGGGGGAGGAGGTGGAGGTGTGGGGGGACGAGATGGGCGTGCGGCGCATGGCACTGGAGCGCATCCACTGGCACAGCCAGGTCACCGGCGCTGATGCTGCCAGCAAGCGCGTGCACGAGTGAGTCTGGCCGTGACTTGTGAGTCCAATCAACACTCACCCCACCACTGGCACAGCCAGGTCGCACGCGCCAATGCCACCAGCAAGAAAGTTCACGATGTGAGAACTGAGCTTAGAATCGATACATTAGGTATGGGCTAGAATCGATACATTAGGTATGGGCTTGAATCGATACATTAGGTATGGGCTTGAATCGATACATTAGGTATGGGCTTGAATCGATACATTAGGTATGGGCTTGAATCGATACATTAGGTATGGGCTAGAATCGATACATTAGGTATGGGCTTGAATCGATACATTAGGTATGGGCTTGAATCGATACATTAGGTATGGGCTTGAATCGATACATTAGGTATGGGCTTGAATCGATACATTAGGTATGGGCTTGAATCGATACATTAGGTATGGGCTTGAATCGATACATTAGGTATGGGCTTGAATCGATACATTAGGTATGGGCTTGAATCGATACATTAGGTATGGGCTTGAATCGATACATTAGGTATGGGCTTGAATCGATACATTAGGTATGGGCTTGAATCGATACATTAGGTATGGGCTTGAATCGATACATTAGGTATGGGCTTGAATCGATACATTAGGTATGGGCTTGAATCGATACATTAGGTATGGGCTTGAATCGATACATTAGGTATGGGCTTGAATCGATACATTAGGTATGGGCTTGAATCGATACATTAGGTATGGGCTTGAATCGATACATTAGGTATGGGCTTGAATCGATACATTAGGTATGGGCTTGAATCGATACATTAGGTATGGGCTTGAATCGATACATTAGGTATGGGCTTGAATCGATACATTAGGTATGGGCTTGAATCGATACATTAGGTATGGGCTTGAATCGATACATTAGGTATGGGCTTGAATCGATACATTAGGTATGGGCTTGAATCGATACATTAGGTATGGGCTTGAATCGATACATTAGGTATGGGCTTGAATCGATACATTAGGTATGGGCTTGAATCGATACATTAGGTATGGGCTTGAATCGATACATTAGGTATGGGCTTGAATCGATACATTAGGTATGGGCTTGAATCGATACATTAGGTATGGGCTTGAATCGATACATTAGGTATGGGCTTGAATCGATACATTAGGTATGGGCTTGAATCGATACATTAGGTATGGGCTTGAATCGATACATTAGGTATGGGCTTGAATCGATACATTAGGTATGGGCTTGAATCGATACATTAGGTATGGGCTTGAATCGATACATTAGGTATGGGCTTGAATCGATACATTAGGTATGGGCTTGAATCGATACATTAGGTATGGGCTTGAATCGATACATTAGGTATGGGCTTGAATCGATACATTAGGTATGGGCTTGAATCGATACATTAGGTATGGGCTTGAATCTCCTTAACTACATCCAAGATGAGTTTGGTATGATGGGGAGGGAATCGGGGGCAATCCCTAGAGATTGGGGGTAATCCCAAGACAATCTCGAATTGGTGGTTTGGAGATTGTTTGGAGATCACATTTGTGTTTGGTTAGGATGTGGGTGTACACCCAACCAAACGTTAAGTGCAAACTACACTACACTAGGATATAAAAAGTACAAAAGGTGAGATTTAGGGCTAACACATAAGTCCGTAAGACGGGAGCAGTGTGAATGAGGGAGCATGGCAGTGAGTCAACACATGTGCGGTCACTGATGAACGGGGCACTTGCTCACCTGCACGGCCCGCACCCACTTGCCACGGGCCGCATTATACCTTCGCAGACGTTCGTGATGTTTGAAGGCTTCACCTTTTCAGCACGTCACAGCTCGCATTAACTTTCCTTGCATACGCCCAAGTATTCCTTGCCTACCCCCCTCTCCTTATTCCCCCCCCTTCCATCCGTTCCCCCCGGGTATGTGTGCCGTGGCAGGTTCATCATGGTGGGCGATCTGGAGGCGGCGGTGACGCTGCTGCTGGCCACGCCGTTCGACTCGCCCGCCTTCCACCGCGACGCCCTTCGTGCCGTGGCACTCGCCACTGCTGTCTCGCCCTCCATGCACCACCTGGCTGCCAAGGCAAGCTGCCCTCCATGCACCACCTGGCTGCCAAGGCAAGCTGCCCTCCATGCACCACCTGGCTGCCAAGGCAAGCTGCCCTCCATGCACCACCTGGCTGCCAAGGCAAGCTGCCCTCCATGCACCACCTGGCTGCCAAGGCAAGCTGCCCTCCATGCACCACCTGGCTGCCAAGGCAAGCTGCCCTCCATGCACCACCTGGCTGCCAAGGCAAGCTGCCCTCCATGCACCACCTGGCTGCCAAGGCAAGCTGCCCTCCATGCACCACCTGGCTGCCAAGGCAAGCTGCCCTCCATGCACCACCTGGCTGCCAAGGCAAGCTGCCCTCCATGCACCACCTGGCTGCCAAGGCAAGCTGCCCTCCATGCACCACCTGGCTGCCAAGGCAAGCTGCCCTCCATGCACCACCTGGCTGCCAAGGCAAGCTGCCCTCCATGCACCACCTGGCTGCCAAGGCAAGCTGCCCTCCATGCACCACCTGGCTGCCAAGGCAAGCTGCCCTCCATGCACCACCTGGCTGCCAAGGCAAGCTGCCCTCCATGCACCACCTGGCTGCCAAGGCAAGCTGCCCTCCATGCACCACCTGGCTGCCAAGGCAAGCTGCCCTCCATGCACCACCTGGCTGCCAAGGCAAGCTGCCCTCCATGCACCACCTGGCTGCCAAGGCAAGCTGCCCTCCATGTACCACCTGGCTGCCAAGGCAAGCTGCCCTCCATGCACCACCTGGCTGCCAAGGCAAGCTGCCCTCCATGCACCACCTGGCTGCCAAGGCAAGCTGCCCTCCATGCACCACCTGGCTGCCAAGGCAAGCTGCCCTCCATGCACCACCTGGCTGCCAAGGCAAGCTGCCCTCCATGCACCACCTGGCTGCCAAGGCAAGCTGCCCTCCATGCACCACCTGGCTGCCAAGGCAAGCTGCCCTCCATGCACCACCTGGCTGCCCAGGCAAGCTGCCCTCCATGCACCACCTGGCTGCCAAGGCAAGCTGCCCTCCATGCACCACCTGGCTGCCAAGGCAAGCTGCCCTCCATGCACCACCTGGCTGCCAAGGCAAGCTGCCCTCCATGCACCACCTGGCTGCCAAGGCAAGCTGCCCTCCATGCACCACCTGGCTGCCAAGGCAAGCTGCCCTCCATGCACCACCTGGCTGCCAAGGCAAGCTGCCCTCCATGCACCACCTGGCTGCCAAGGCAAGCTGCCCTCCATGCACCACCTGGCTGCCAAGGCAAGCTGCCCTCCATGCACCACCTGGCTGCCAAGGCAAGCTGCCCTCCATGCACCACCTGGCTGCCAAGGCAAGCTGCCCTCCATGCACCACCTGGCTGCCAAGGCAAGCTGCCCTCCATGCACCACCTGGCTGCCAAGGCAAGCTGCCCTCCATGCACCACCTGGCTGCCAAGGCAAGCTGCCCTCCATGCACCACCTGGCTGCCAAGGCAAGCTGCCCTCCATGCACCACCTGGCTGCCAAGGCAAGCTGCCCTCCATGCACCACCTGGCTGCCAAGGCAAGCTGCCCTCCATGCACCACCTGGCTGCCAAGGCAAGCTGCCCTCCATGCACCACCTGGCTGCCAAGGCAAGCTGCCCTCCATGCACCACCTGGCTGCCAAGGCAAGCTGCCCTCCATGCACCACCTGGCTGCCAAGGCAAGCTGCCCTCCATGCACCACCTGGCTGCCCAGGCAAGCTGCCCTCCATGCACCACCTGGCTGCCAAGGCAAGCTGCCCTCCATGCACCACCTGGCTGCCAAGGCAAGCTGCCCTCCATGCACCACCTGGCTGCCAAGGCAAGCTGCCCTTGCTGCGCATGACTGTGATCTCACCCCATTAGCTCTACCCTCTCATTTTTCTCACTTCTCATTCCCCTCTCTCCTCTCATTCCCCTCTCTCCTCTCATTTCCCTCTCTCCTCTCATTTCCCTCTCTCCTCGCATTCCCCTCTCTCCCCTCATTTCCACTCTCTCCTCTCATTCCCCGCTTTCCTCTCATTCCCCTCTCTCCTCTCATTTCCCTCTCTCCTCTCATTTCCCTCTCTCCTCTCATTCCCCTCTCCTTCCTCCACCTTCCCTCCACGGCGACGGGGGGCACTGTTGGGATGGGGTGCACGGGTGGCATGGGGGTTGTGTTGTGGGGTGGGGTGGGGTGGGGTGGGGTGGGATGGCAATGAGCAGGTGGTGGCGACCAACATGGTGCTGGCGGGGGAGCCGCTCACAGCCGTGCACTTGCTCTGCTCCATCGCCCAGTATGCCGACGCCTGCACGCAGGTATGTGTGCACGCAGGTATGTGTGCACGCAGGTATGTGTGCACGCAGGTATGTGTGTCCGCACAGATATGTGTGTGTGCACGCGGTTGTGTGCATACAGGTATGGGTGCATGCAGGTATGGGTGGATGCAGGTATGGGTGCATGCAGGTATGGGTGCATGCAGGTATGGGTGCATGCAGGTATGGGTGCATGCAGGTATGGGTGCATGCAGGTATGGGTGCATGCAGGTATGGGTGCATGCAGGTATGGGTGCATGCAGGTATGGGTGCATGCAGGTATGGGTGCATGCAGGTATGGGTGCATGCAGGTATGGGTGCATGCAGGTATGGGTGCATGCAGGTATGGGTGCATGCAGGTATGGGTGCATGCAGGTATGGGTGCATGCAGGTATGGGTGCATGCAGGTATGGGTGCATGCAGGTATGGGTGCATGCAGGTATGGGTGCATGCAGGTATGGGTGCATGCAGGTATGGGTGCATGCAGGTATGGGTGCATGCAGGTATGGGTGCATGCAGGTATGGGTGCATGCAGGTATGGGTGCATGCAGGTATGGGTGCATGCAGGTATGGGTGCATGCAGGTATGGGTGCATGCAGGTATGGGTGCATGCAGGTATGGGTGCATGCAGGTATGGGTGCATGCAGGTATGGGTGCATGCAGGTATGGGTGCATGCAGGTATGGGTGCATGCAGGTATGGGTGCATGCAGGTATGGGTGCATGCAGGTATGGGTGCATGCAGGTATGGGTGCATGCAGGTATGGGTGCATGCAGGTATGGGTGCATGCAGGTATGGGTGCATGCAGGTATGGGTGCATGCAGGTATGGGTGCATGCAGGTATGGGTGCATGCAGGTATGGGTGCATGCAGGTATGGGTGCATGCAGGTATGGGTGCATGCAGGCACAATGGTCGTACTCACTCTCTGATGATGGGGGTTGTCTGCAAAGGAGTCATTTGTCGTCAATTCATCATCATCCTCATCATCCCCATCATCCCACTCATCCCCGCTCATCCCCACCATCCACAATCCTCATCCCCTGTCATCAGCTGCAAGCCATTGGTCGATGGGTTGATGCATCAACACTCGCAGCTTGCCACCTGTCAGGCGCTGATAGGGCCAAGTAAGGTCCCATTGTTTACTCGCTTCTGTTGCACCATCCTTAACCAGCCTTTGCATGCCATCATCATGCCATCATCATGCCACCATCACGCCATCATCATGCCATCATCACGCCATCATCATGTTCAATGTGTTTAATTGAACACGCTGTCACTCTGCATGCCGTCATCATGCCATCATCACGTCATCATCACGCCATCATCATGCCATCATCATGCCATCATCACGCCATCATCATGCCATCATCATGCCATCATCACGCCATCATCATGCCATCATCATGCCATCATCATGCCATCATCATGCCATCATCACGCCATCATCATGCCATCATTCAATGTGTTTAATTGAACACGCTGTCACTCTGCATGCCGTCATCATGCTGCTTACCCAACAGCTTGCCACCGCATGTCCCTACACCCCATGGGCTAGTATGGCACGTCCCCAACCCCATATTCGTGGCATGGCATGTGTCTCACCCCGTGGGCTGGCATGGCACAGGGTGCTGCATCGGTGGGCGCAGCACACCCTTAAAAACGAGCATGACCTGTGGCGGTGAGCATGACCTGTGGCGGTGAGCATGACCTGTGGCGGTGAGCATGACCTGTGGCGGTGAGCATGACCTGTGGCGGTGAGCATGACCTGTGGCGGTGAGTGCTGGGTTGTGGTGCTTTAGGCATGACAAAAGGGTGTGTTGTACGAAGAAGAATAATCTCGTGTGATGGGGTGCGGTGATAAATAAAGTATTCAGATCGTGTGGGTGTAATGTGGTGTATCGTCCATGCTACCTCCTCATACCTTTCACATGTTCTGCTGCCTCTGCTCCCTTCCCGACTTCTCTCCTCGTGTGAAACTCACCCTTCTTCACACTTCCACAACACACCCATCTGATTGCCACATACCCCACTCCCCCTTGCCCACTTGCCCCTCCCCTAACGCTCCCCCTTGCCCTCACCGTGCAGTGCGGTGACGCTGTTTGTGGCAGCGGGCAGTCTGACAGCAGCGCTGAGGGCGCTGAGGGAGGCCCACCAGCCCGACACCGCCATGATGCTGCTGCTCGCCTGCCACCACGCCCACGCCCATCTCACACCACCGCCCCGCCGCCTCACTGCCACCACCACCGCACCCGTGGCGATCGGGCGGCACCTTCCGGCCATGCCTGCTGGAGAGGCGGATGTGGGCGGGAAGCAGGGCGTGGGAGGTGAAGATGGGAGGGAGGGAGGAGAGGGGGAGGGAGGACGGGAGGTACGGGGGGGACGGGAGGTACGGGGGGGACGGGAGGGAGGGGAGGGAGGGGAGGGATGGAAGGGGGAGGAGGGAGAGGAAGGAGTGGATGGGCCGCTGTGGCTACCGGGTGATTTGAGGACGCACGGGGAGGAGGAGGTGCAGGTGGTGTGTGGGCTCTTCTCTCAGCACCAGCGCTGGCTCGCTCACCTCTGTGCTCCACATGGCTCCGACTGACTCCCTTGTCCGCTCCACGGCTGCTCATTGAGGACTTGTCAGCATCACGTCAATTCCGCACCATTATACCGTTTGGCCCCGGATCGTAGCGCATATGCGCTTATAATAAATTCATTTTTGTAAGGGTGGGCACTTGTAATTGAGTAACAGCCGTAAGCGCCGGCGCTTTTATAATGGCAAAAATGAATCTTAGTTTTAAGGATACCAGACTGAAGCCCTCAATAAGGCAAATACAACACTGTACCATGGGTGTGGGGTCGTGCATGTAATCACGGCGAAACTTGCCGCGATTCGATTTCCCAACTCACAAAACCTGTCCAGGGGCAACGCACCTGCCAGTGCTGACGCTACCTGCCATGCGGCCCAATCAGGTTGTCATGTGCTGCCAGGCAGGAGCATCTCAGCAGAACCCTCTAGAAGGGGATGGAATCTGACATGCCAGCACAACATGTATGGCGCCCCGAACCCTCCTCCGCAGGTTCAGGCAGGGGTGGACTCGTCTCTCATTGACGAGGACCCCGAGCCGCAAACCTGAAGGGGCCCTCTTCAATCTCTCATTTCTTCACCCATTCTTGCTGTTTGCCATCCAGTTTTGTTTTCTCGCCCGCCTGGCTACGGAAGCCATGGCGGAATTCACAGGCACGCATTTTCTCTTCAGGAAAAAACCTACCAGTAGGCCCGCGTACTGTGTTACAGCTGGCGGGTGGTATAGCCGTATACCACCATACCCACCAGAGCCACCACATCCCCCTGCGCCTCCTGCGCCGCCTGCTTCTCCGGCGCCTCCTGCGCCTCCTGCTCCTCCTGTTCCTCCGTCTCCAGCGTGTCCAGTGTCTCTTCACGTGACCGAAAATCACCCCATGCTCACGCACCTGCTCCCATCGGCGTTCGACAAGTATCTTTCGGAACCGGATTCTAACAAGGGCCCCGATGTGTGGGTACCCGCGCCGACGCCGGCACCACATTGGGGCCAACCAGAAGACTGCACGTGGGGCGAATCTGTAGTCGGCGCTGACGACGAAGTGCCTAACGCCGAGGAAGAATGGCGCGCTGAGGGCGACAACGGCGCAGAGGGTGGCACAGAGCCTGACACCGAGGCTGGCACTGAGGCCGGCACCGCTGAGGATGTGTTTCCGGAGGGTGCTCCGGGCGGTGACGACGACGACGGCGTCGAGTACTGGTTACGCGATGGGCTCCCCCAAAAACTTTCGATACCATCTTATCCTCCACATAATCGAAAGCGCCCCCGCCCTTCTTCACAGAACCGTGATGCTCGCCCCCCCTCTCCCGGGCACAAGGTTAACGAGCACAAGCATCAGGCCTGTACTGCCGCCGAGAAGTTGAAGTGGGTCGCGCAACTGGATGTGGCGGTGTCGATGCGCGCTTTGGCTCGCGAGAGTGGCATCCACCGCAAGTGCCTCACCAACTGGAAGCGTGCCGCGGAATTCCTTAAGGAAGCCTACTATGCCAGGAAGCGCATGCATGGTCGCGGGATGGCGTTGTGGTACCGGTCGATAGAGATAAAGGTGTACGAAAAACTGCTCGACTGGGGCCGCAAGGGAACCGCGGTGTCCGTCGGCCGCCTGCAGGAGTGGTCCCGGGAATTCATGAAGATACTCTACCCCCTCGTGAAGTGGAAAGGGAACCAAAGGTGGTCGGACCGGTTCCAGCGGCGATGGAATCCCAGCGTGCGAATGAAGACGAAGGTTGCCCAGAAAATCGCCGCCCGTAAGAATCACAGTGCTTACGTATGCCTTGTTTTTGCATTTCTTATTTACTAACCGTATCCCTATGTAGCCGCCCTCTGTACCACCGTTTCGTAGATGTCGCGGAGCAGTGCAAGAAGTTTTGGCAATGCGTCTGTGACAAGCGCCGCGAGCGCGACATCAAGACGACGTGGATTATCAACGCCGACCACACGCCACTCTGGCTGGAGATGCCCGCCACCACCACCGTCGATCAAACCAGACTTCGGTCGGTGCCCATCAGAAGTGCGGGGTACCAGAATGAGCGTGTGACCGTGATGTTGGCGTGCACGGCGGACAGGATGAAGCTCAAGTCCCGTCTTTTTCAAGCAGAAGGTAGTGCCGAAAGGCGTTTATCCGCCAAGTAAGACATGTTCTTTTGTTTGTATGCCTGGCTGTGGTTGTTTTTCGAATTCAAATCTGACTCTCCCATGTTGGTTGTGCAGATGTGGTCGTGGCATGCCACAAGAACGGGTGGATGGACGCGGAGGGCGTCATTCGATGGCTTGAGGAGTGTGTCAAGCCCTTCTTAAAGCCTGGGTTCGGGAGGCATGCAAGGAGCTCGATGCTCCTACTGGATTCCTACCGCGGTCACCTCACTGAGGGGATGAAGGAGAAATTCCGCGAGCTCAACTGCGTGCCGGCGATCATCCCGTCTGGCTGCACGGCGGAGGTACAGCCCCTCGCCGTCTCCATCAACAAGAGCTTTAAGGCGAGCGTCCGCCAGCAGTACCAGAAGTGGTTTCAGGAAGAGGGCCAACAACAGCTGACCAAGCAGGTATGGCAGCCACGCGACTAACCCGTGTGCCCTTCCAGTATCCCCCTTTTGTTGTGCTAACTAGATTCTATCTGGTGATTTTTGTTTGTGCGGGGAACTTGAAGAAGCCGCCCCCAAAAGTGGTTGTCCGGTGGATCTCACGGGCTTGGAAGGCAGTGCCCGCCGATTTCTCAAGCGCGCCTTCCTCACCTGTGGCATCAGCAACGCGCTTGACGGCAGTGAGGACGGGCTCGCCATGTCAGAACATTATAGCTTACTTATTTGTGTAGGCTATAGTGGGGTATCCCATAGGGGGTACAACCCAACTAGGGTTTCCTATTTGTACTCACTTCGTTCATAGTCATTTCATCCTCGTTCAATTCTTCTCATGGAATCAGAGCAGGTCCCCTCCTAGGGACTGTTCATAGGGCCCACCGAAGCGCGCCCCGAGGCGCGCGTTCTTTTTTTTTTTAGCGACCCTTCGTGTCGCCCTTACCTACGCGATCCCGCCGCCCTTTGGTCGCGGCCCCGCTTTGCCCCGTCGGCCCCACTACGGCCCCTCTTAGGCCTCGCTACGGCCGCGCTACAGCCCCACTTAGGCCCCGTCGGCCCCGCTTAAGCCCCGCTACGGCCCCGCGTCGGCTTCGCTACGGCCCCGTCGGCCCCGCTTAGGCCCCGTCGGCCCCGCTTAGGCCCCGCTACGGCCCCGCTACGGCCCCGCTTAGGCCTCGTCGGCCCCGCCTAGGCCCCGCTACGGCCCCGCTTAGGCCTCGTCGGCCCCGCCTAGGCCCCCACTACGGCCCCGCTACAGCCCCTTGTCGGCCCCGCTACGGCCCCGCTTCGGCCCCGCTTAGGCCCCGCTGCAGCCCCGCTACGGCCCCCATTGCGGCCCCGCCGCCTCTCTTACTGCGGCCCCACCGCCCGTGCTGCAGCCCGACGCGCCACCCGTGCAGCCGCCCGTGCGCCGCCCGTGCAACCGCCCGTGCAACCGCCCGTAAAGCCGCCCGTGCAGCCGCCTGTGCAGTCGCCCACCGTGCCGCCCGTGAGCCGCCCCAGCCGCCCGTGCAGCCGCCCGTGAGCCGCCCGTGCAGCCGCCCGCGCCGCCCGTGAGGCCCCGCGTCACCCGAGCCGCACGAGCCGCCCGAGCCGCCCGAGCCGCCCGAGCCGCCCGAGCCGTCTACGGTGCCGAGAGCCGGATCCTGTGGGGCTGCTGCCACTCCTAGGCCGGCGGAGTTGCTGAGCTGCTGTGTTCCTGTCCTACTGAGCTGCTCGACCCTTCTTCTCTGGTGAGAGTGTCGGCTGCTATCATGGCCACCCCTAGTGTCCTGGCCTTTGACGCTGAGGGTCGCGCCATTGACTTTGCGGTCTGGGTCGAGGACCTGCAGCTGTACTTGCAGTGCGATTCAGTAGATGACATCTCTCTCTTTGACTTTGCCACTGGCGCTGTCCCTGCACCTCCTGCTGATGCTGACCACACTGTTCGCTCCAAGTGGGCCACACGCGATGCTGCTGCACGTCTTGCTGTGCGTCGCCACCTCCCTTCCTCCGAGCGTGCCCACTTTAGTCAGTGCAAGACCGCTCAGGCCTTGTACGACGCTGTAGTTGCGCGCTACTCCTCCCCTTCCACTGCTACACTGAGCCGCCTCATGCTACCGTACATCTTCCCTGACCTTGCTGCCTTTCCCACAGTCGCTGACCTCTTTACCCACCTTCGCGTTAGTGACACTCGCTACCGAGCTGCGCTTCCTGTTGCCTTCCTCGCCGAAAACCCCCCTCCCATGTACATCACCCTCTACTTTCTAGTCACCCGTCTCCCTGAGTCCCTTCGTGCTGTTAGGGACCAGTTTCTCTCTGTCTGTCCCACCACCCTCACTGTCGACCTCCTCGAGAAGTCCCTGCTAGCGGCCGAGAAGAGCATAGTCGCTGTAGGGGCCTCTCGTGGTGACCCGCGCACCCCCATCTTTGAGAGGTGTTCTCCTTCCCCCCTGTTACCCTCTGTCGCCTCTGCTGCTGCGGCCGACCTCGTTGGTTTAGAGTCGGTCGGTGCGGCGTCTGCCCCCAGCGGTAGGCGCCGCTCTGGCAGGAGCAAGGGGGGCAAGGGAGCGGGTGGAGCTAGCAGGGGCGGTGGCGGAGGAGGTGGGGGCGGCGGGGGGAGTGGGGGTGGCGGTGGGGGTGGAGGCGGGAGTGGAGGTACTGGTGGTGGCAGTGGAGGCGGAGGTGGTGGCGGAGGTGGCAGTGGGAGCGGCGGGGGCGAGGGTGGCGGTGGCGGCGGTGGCGGCGGAGGCGGAGGTGGCGGTGGTGGAGGTGGTCGGAGTGGCTCGTCCCAGCGGAGCAACACTGGGGGTGGTCAGCGCCAGCAGCAGCAGCAGCAGCAGTGCTCTCGCGACGTCCCCGCCCCTCAGCAGCTCCGTGAGTGGTACTCGCAGCGTCAGCGTGGTGGGGCATTCGGTCCCTGCACCTACGTCCTTCGCACCGGCGACCGCGCGGGTGAGCAGTGT